GTAATTGTTGTTGCTGCTGCTGATGTAATTGTTGTTGTTGCTGCTGATGTAATTGTTGTTGCTAATGTTGTGGTGGTGGTGGTGCTGGTGTTGTTGTTTAAGAATGCTGCTTACCTTCAGCAAATGTTTTCTTTCTAAAACTGTCCCAGACATAGGTTAATAGTGACTTAATTTAATGAGTAATTAATTACAGGGATCATTTTGAAAGAGTAATGTGATGATATAGTATCATAGACCTCATGATATAGTAAGCAAAATTTTAAAAATGTGTTATCCCATTCCATGAATACCAGCTGATTGTCACAAAGGCCCAGTATGTCTGAAGCATGTTGCTTATTTTTGATACATGACTTATCCCTGTCCTTCAGAATTTCCGTCAAAATGACCGTAGCTAGTCATTTATCCCTCAAACACATTTTTTTATTTCCGTTTTATGGTTTAAGCATGATCTGGCCATCTGGTCGCGCGTACCTTTTGTCAAAATTTTCTTTTCATGGTGTACCCAGGGTATAATGGCAGTAATCAATCTCTTTATCATTAAATACAAGTTAATGCCCTTAAAATTAGTTCCTTTTGTGGGATGTTCCAACATCGTGCGTGTTCAGTCAGCTGTGTAAAGACAGGGTTTAAAGGTGCTCGAGTGTTCAAATTTTCAATTTGTTCTTCCCACACCAGTAGCACGGTTCAGTGACTCCAGAGATGCAGCTTTTGTGTTGGATTTTTTGATGTCCGTCTTTGAGCCGTCCATATCATCATTAATGAACTGAGTTGATCATCAAATTAAAATTATATTTTCTGGAAAATCCATCAAAAAGTTTGTTGATTTTAATTAATTATCAGAAACCACCACAATCTATAATCTTATAAGTAAAACAGAATATTTTAATCTCTGCAAATATCCATTTTGTCCTCTTCGAACGTCTTATAAATTAATTTTGGCTAGTGAAAATACATAAAAGAAGTGTTGAAAAATATAAACAAGTAATATTTAATATAACATAATTAATCTGAAAGCATGGAAACGTTGTGCTGTTTCAGCGCCAACAAAATTAAGTGGAGAGTGCAATAATGTCATGAAGAAAATGATGTACAAGGCTTAGGATCACGTGAGAATTGGACAACATCACATTACATATATACAAGTACACGTGACTGAGGTATTTATCATTACAGATCGAAAACTGTTATGTAAGTCTTGCTTGCGGTAACATAAGGAACGGCGTTTTGATGTCCGGAATTTTTAATCTAGATGTAGGACGACTAAGTATATATCATACGTTAATGTCCTTTTTTACCCTATAAACAAACATGACTTTTAATGCTGTAGCTCTCACAGAATCATGTAGATCAAACCGGAACATCAATACTTTCACAACAAGTAACACCTGCAGTTCGTTTAATGGAATCGACACGACCATGTAAATCACCGAGTTTGTCACTATTGTGATATACCGCTGATACATACCGTATTTAAGATTATATGTGCTGTTCTTGGCCCTTCAAGGAAACAAACCCACTGGTCCCTTTCACATATGGACCCTGTTCACCAATCACCGAAATAATCACCCCCTCAAAGATCGCATGATCCCCTCTTTTGTAAACCGTAAAACCTCTCCATCAAATCTGACAACGGTCGGGGAAAACCTAGAAATAGATTATGGTGGTTGGTTTCGTTCAGCTTCTTTGTATTAAAAATGAGTACGACAGAAGGCAGTGAAGAAAGAACTTAATGTGTCACTTTAACCAAACTGTCATTACCAATTCTATGGCTCCTTAATATAAAATTAAGAATTTCGAAATAAAAACTGATAACCCGAAATTACAAATTAAGCACAATGATTCAATCAAAAATTCAATATTTTACATATCGATTAAAAAATTATCCTTTTCTATATAAGTAATATATATATTTATTTGTATCAGGAAGTTTAAATTCTCAGTGCCCTTTACGAATAAAAAAAAAAACAAAAATAGGATTTTTCCGTCATTTTCCTATCCATATAACATATACGCGAAAGAAATCATGACACAAAAATCTGGTGCTTGTTCTATATATTCAGTCTTATTCAGTTAAAACTTGTCATTTAACTGAACTAGAAGATTTTCCATGTCTTTGAGACTTTCCTTTCAGAAATTAAACGACAAAGAAATTCAGCTAATTTGCTCCTCCTCATCTATATATTCTTCGCAATATTTCGCGCAAATTTATTTTTGATAAACACTGCATAATTAATGTTTGAATTTATAACGAAAACATACCATTGTCATCATCATTGTTATACACCGGCTTCACCTTCATTCTTTCTCTTGTCAACAAACGGTGTTTCTAAAATTTACCAAATAGCAAAAGTTGAATAAATGAGAAAATGTGCCGATATCAATGAACCACTAAATTATGAAGCTTAGAAATCAACTGACAATTTTGGGAATTTTTATGTTCAGAAATAGTGTTTTAAGACATTGTATCAATTTTGTAATGAATTCCCAGCGTTATTTCAATGACATTTAGATGTAAATGAAACCTACACTAATTAAGGACAGAGTCATGCTCCTAGATATCTGTCTCTACGATCAGCAAAGCGTACAGGATTCTGCTTTGTCACAGCAACATCGAAAACATAACACGGTATTGAAAATAAATTCATTAAGGCCAAATTAATTTCACATAAATGATTTATTAAAGGTATTTCAGTTGCTCCTGGTGTAGCACAGACGGGGGGCTTTGATAGGGAACGCCGCTTCCTGATATAACATGATAAGAGGAGGCTGCATTCAACAGACTGAAATAAACTTGAGTGAAGAGAACAACGGGTACATTGCTGGTGTCGTTGATGAAGCAGAAGACGTTTACTCTTCCGAAACACCCGGTATCATTGCCCTTGTACTTATTCAGGAGTCTGCCTATAAAACTCTCCTTTGTTAATATTTTGCCCTAGTTTTATGGAATTTGAGTTTGGGTTATGACTATTTTGACATGTTAGTATTTTCTTGATGTTTCTCATGAATATGTCTGTTTCAAAAGATCGATGGAAACAAAGAGACCTTTTTTAATTATCATTTTCCCAGTTGCTTATAGTACTATACAGAGAAAGTAGAAACTAATTTTATCTGAAAATTCGGAACATTATTATTGATATTTCATATTAGATGTTCTATAATATGATATTTCAAACATGAATAAAAAATGTGACGTATCTCAGGCAAATAAAATCACTACAAATCAAGATGGATGTTGTAGGAGTTTTTGACACAGTACAATTAAATAATTACATTTTAAAGATAAAATATTAGGCATAATTTTACATATTTAAATACTGGTACACTCCATACAAACAAGCAGGCATGATCTAATCCAGCGAAAAAGAAAAATATTGCCATGACGTGAAGTGAATGTGGGATCAGCTGTCAGACGACGTGAGACAATTGCTGTGACCATTCTGAAGACGTGTAGTGCCCTCCTTATCAGCATATTAGCATATCAAAGATGGCATTATAACCGGGGATTCCAAGGAAAACCCAACCATATGGCTAACGGTCCGACGGAGGGCCAATAGCTCACTTGTAAAAGGTCTTGGCTTTTTTGTTCTAACAACTTGTGTATTAATAGGACTTTTACAAGCATCCCATTTGACATGATTAGTGAAACGTTAATCCTTAGACGTCACATTTTTATTAGATCACCAATCACACGCAGTTGAATCAATCCGTGCGAGACTGATTTGATTTTCTTATCTCTATTTTCTTATCATTATTGGTATCGATAACAAGTCCCGTTGTACACGTTGCATAAATAAACAATGATATTATCATTTTTTCTGATTTTTTTTTCTAATGTATTAATTGGTTCTATTTTTTCATTTCTTAAGTACATATCATTTTTATTTTTAAAGTACTTGATAGTGCGTACATGTATATTATTATTATTGTTATCATTATTATTATATGACTATAACAAAAAATTGTATGAAAGACACAGGTATGAAAAATAACATTTAAATATTAGTCTGTTGTGAGTCTTTATTGACGATAAGGGAAAATTGTGATCATTCAGATAAATATAAATCACTCTCAATATTTACAAAAAAAAGTGGTTGGGTGTGCACTAGCCTCATAGCTACATGAATTAAAAAAAATAGATATTGGCTCACTTAACCAGCTCATATAAACAGATATTTCACCCCTACCCAGGCTGTTGTCAAAAACATTATACCTGAAGTGCTCCAGTCTAATGCATTTTAACATAGGGTCAAAACTACCAGCATCGAGGGGCAAACATTTTTTTTGCTATATTATGAGATATTAAATATGTATTTTAGTAAAAAAATAATGACATGAAAAAATAGATAAATTGAAAAAGGGGAAAAAATCACAATTATTAGGATTTCACTCGTAGCATGCAGGGTTACTATAACATTAAGCTAAAATTGATATTATTATGCATTTTATACATCTTGTATTTTGGGAAAAAATCTTGATTAACTTGTAATTGGCTGAAATACACGTAGATGAAAAATGGAAATGATAACACAAATGCCACGTAAAATTTTCAGAATAACATGTTGGAATTTTATGCTCAAAGACATAAATGTAATTTTTTTTCCAAAATAGAAGTGCTCAAAGACTTAGGTCATGTACGGGTGATGACAAAGCTTAGCTTTCAGCCATTTGTGTCTTGGAGTATTCTGAGATTGTGTGTTATTTGTCCGTAATTGATTTTAAAACGCTGGTTTGGTTGGAATTGGTTGCAGGTTTATAACAGTGAGTAGCGAATGTCTACACCCCATCAAGGTCTACTCTGCCAGCGTCAATTGGATTAGGGGGAGACACCATACACAGGCACACACAAGTAATTATTTGCCTCTCAATGTTGGCAGCTGCGCACAAATCCCTATTATCTGACGGTGCATACCGAATTAGTACGCGAGCCAATCAAATCACAGGATACAACTCACACATCAAAGCTGATCAATTAATTTCCTAATATGATTTGGTGTTTTCAGGAAGCCAGATAAACGATATCTTGTCTCAATTGAAGAGGACTGGTCATTTCTGGTGAAGTGCTGGACGGGTATTCGACAACATGACAAATTAACTGCCGAAATAGAGGGAAAGTAACAATCATTCCAGATTGCTAAACGTCTCAATCGGCTGTCAAGACGAGTGTTCAGCAATATCACTCTAAAGCTGTTTTGAAGTTTGTTTAACTACGCAGGGCGCGTCGCCCGGATACATGGTGCTATGTTGCGATCATAGAGTTTTCCCCGCTCTATATATTATTTTGTTGAAAACTTATCTGAGACGACTGTTTTGAAAAAACGGAGAACATTTATTTTTTTTTTATTTCAAGCAAACCAACTCAGTTTAGTGACTTTTGGTTTTCACTTTCTGTAAGTCGTGTGCTATGAGCGTAACAGAGGAAACAAATGAACCAAAGTTTGATAATATTCAAGTTAAGAGAGAAATACCAGCAGTTATGATGGAAAATATATTTAGATCGAACCAAGCAAATCCGCAATTGTTCAGTATAGCAGCACTAAGTGGTGAGAGTAGGACCGGACAAGAAAATATTTATTTAAAACAACGGGATGAATTTCAAAATGAAGCCGCCGACGACGAGGGTTATTCAAATGTGAAAGTAGATGTAGAAGAACACAGCAGCGATGACAGTGATAACAGCTCGTCTTCCGAACGACGAAAAGACAGTTTTGGGATTATTGGTGAAAGTTATGAACAAAAAGATCTCGATGGAAAATCGAAGACACGGAAACCAAAAGGTGAGAAAGTGGTAAGATTAAACATTAATGCCAGGGAAAGGCGGAGAATGCATGATTTAAATGACGCTCTTGATGAACTTCGGTCAGTGATACCGTATGCACATAGCCCTTCCGTGCGAAAACTTTCAAAAATTGCAACTTTACTGCTGGCTAAAAATTTCATTCTAATGCAAGCCAATGCACTGGAGGAAATGCGGCGAGTGATTGCATACAGGAATAACCCCTCGACCAGCCCATCTGTGTGTCTGGAGCCCTTTACCAGGTACCCAAACATGCCAGGGTTACAGACTTTAACGACTTTCCCTAGGAACAATGGACGCAAGTTCTCTCCAGCATTCCAAAGGACAGCTGACAGTAGTGCATTCAAGCGGAACTCTAGTGACAAAGTGTAGCATTGAAAAGGACACCATTGTATTTGTGGACAGAATTTTAAAAACGTCTTTATTTAAGTTATAAGTCTGAAGTATTACATTATATAACGAAATTCTCTTACATTTTATCTTATATAAGTAAGATGGAACTAAAAAGAAAGCGAAAAATACTTTTGGTAAGTTTTAATGAGAGGTTCTTAAAAGGCGTAATAGTAATATAAACACACATCTTATAAACCACACATTGTATTTATCTATTTGAGATAAACACATAATTGATTTTGCTGTTGTACTATATTTGTATGTATATTATAAATAAATACGGCAATGTTACTTTTTGTTACATTTTGTTTATTTTCATTAAGTAATTAAAATTAATTATGAAATGAAGAATATTTGATAATTTCACTTATGACTTAGGTTTTAGATATTAGATATCTAGACATGGTATATATGTAATGAATAGTCAATGCAAGATTTACATATTTTTTTTAAAAGTCGAAATAATATATTAATTAACAACAGGAGAATTAAATATTAATAAATAACATAAAATTATATATTAACAACATGAAAATAAGTTACATATTCATTAATAAACTCAGAACTGTGTATTATTTAACGAATCATATGTTAACTAAGAAAGATGTTGTAAAGATATAAATCTTGGGATTATAACATATCGCTTGATGATTGTTCTTTGTGAATGAGGTTCATAACATATACATATAACTTCTGATGGAATGTGTTAAAATGTTTTTAATCTTAGTTAATACGCAAAATGATAACTATCAAAACATGTGTTATTATCTGCTATTTTGATTAAACACGACGTTCTCATAAAATTATTTTTACTTTTCTAAATATAGCTCCAGTAATCAAATGGACTGGAATTTTTTTCCTTTTTTCTTTTCTATCATTGATAAAACCTTTTAATGTATGTATTACAATCAGTTTGTTCTTAATGCAATGTTTATAAATGTAGTTCAAATTGTAACAACTCATAGAAAATTCAAAGTCAAAATTATCAACATTAATGATATCAACCTGAAGTCACACCTGTGACCCTTTATAGGTGTTGAGAATTGTACAAAATACGCACAAGCAAATGTTAAGTTTTTAATACAAATGCATTTAGAGTAAGACACAGTAGAGCAGAGAATTATATTTAACTGCATCTTATTTCTAGGACTCGTTAGTGACTCTGAGGGCCTAACTTTTAAAGTCCAGAAGGTGATTGAAGTGAAGAGATCACCCTCATCAATAAATTTCGTAATTCTGATACATAGGACAATTCTAGAATAATGTCACATACCTGTGGCAATTAAGTTCATTACACATCATCCGCGTCACAAAAACCCTGATGTGCTATGTTTATGTATAGAATAGTTTAAGACTGGTGGGAAGTTAGTAGCTATTTATATCGCGCAGGTGACTTTTCACACAATACATTATCATCAATATTTATGTAAATATACATATATCTATTTCGATATTTTCTGAATTCTAATTCATGCTGAATATAATGTTCGTGAAAAGAAATAGAAAACATTGCTTAATCTTTACCAGTATATCACATAAATTGCTATTTTGTTTCACTTAATCTATTCATAGAGAGAATATAGGAATAACGCCATCGTTCATGGTAATTGGAAAATAAACACAGTCGTGCGAGTTGTAAACATTCTTCACATGATATTAAGCTTTGTGTAGAAAATTTAAGTGACGTATATGTTAGACATACCTTTATAACAGTAAGTCTGGAGACATACCTTTATAGCAGTATGGAGACATACCTTTATAACAGTATATAGACATACCTTTATAACTGTAAGTATGGAGACATACCTTTATAACAGTATGTATGGAGACATACCTTTATAACAGTATGGAGACATACATTTATAACAGTTAGTATGGAGACATACCTTTATAACAGTATGTAGACATACCTTTATAACAGTATGTAGACATACCTTTATAACTGTAAGTATAGAGACATACCTTTATAACAGTATGGAGACATACCTTTATAACAGTATGTAGACATACCTTTAGAACAATATGTAGACATGCCTTTATAACTGTAAGTATGGAGACATACCTTTATAGCAGTATGTATGGAGACATACCTTTATAGCAGTATGTATGGAGACATACCTTTATAGCAGTATGTATGGAGACATACCTTTATAACAGTATGAGTGGAGACATACCTTTATAACAGTAAGTATAGAGACATACCTTTATAACAGTATGTATGGAGACATACCTTTATAACAGTATGTAGACATATCTTTATAACAGTATGTGTGGAGACATACCTTTATAACAGTAAGTATGGAGACATACCTTTATAACAGTAAGTATGAAGACATATCTTTATAACAGTATGTAGACATGTCTTTATAACAGTATGTATGGAGACATACATTTATAGCAGTATGTGTGGAGACATACCTTTATAACAGTAAGTATGGAGACATACCTTTATAACAGCAAGTATGGAGACATACCTTTATAACAGTATGAAGACATATCTTTATAACAGTATGCAGACATGTCTTTATAACAGTATGTATGGAGACATACATTTATAGCAGTATGTGTGGAGACATACCTTTATAACAGTATGGAGACATACCTTTATAACAGTATGGAGACATACATTTGTAACAGTATGGAGACATACCTTTATAACAGTAAGTATCGAGACATACCTTTATAACAATGTGTAGACATACCTTTATAGCAGTATGTGGAGACATACCTTTATAACAGTATGTAGACGTACCTTTATAACTGTAAGTATGGAGACATACCTTTATAACAGTATGTATGGAGACATATCTTTATAACAGTATGTGTGGAGACATACCTTTATAACAGTATGGAGACATATCAATATAACAGTATGGAGACATACATTTTTAACAGTTAGTATGGAGACATACCTTGATAACAGTATGGAGACATACCTTTATAACAGGTTGTGTGAAGACATACCTTTATAACAGTTAGTATGGAGACATACCTTTATAACAGTTAGTATGGAGACATACCTTTATAGCAGTATGTAGACATACCTTTATAACAGGTAGTATGGAGACATACCTTTATAACAGTTTGTACAATAGCAGTAGTGTTTGGTATAAACATTTTTAACATTAAAATGAATTATGTGGAGACTTTAGCCTTAAACTTAAACACAATCTCTAACATATATGATTTTATCAAAACTACCTTATATCAGGCATACAGTATTTCACTGTAAGTAAGGAGTGCGCCAGACATGTTTCCTTAAACGTACTTATGCTGTTTAATTGGAAAATCTTTAACATTCAGATAAGAAATTTATATTCATACGGCCATACAGATTTGCCCTTATGATAGAATAAGTGTATGCCATAGCGAATCTTAACCTTAGAATAAAAAGTGTGTTGAAATACAATACTAACATTCAGTACTCTGATGGACACACATCCTTCACAATAACAACAGGGGAGCGGGTCAAACATTAATCATAATGTATTATGTATGTAAGACTTACATTCTAAATCAGAATCTACTGAGTTATGGGACTAGTGCAACTCTACATCTAAATTTTAACATTTCTTTCAATCCATGTGGATTTATTTCAGTCTTAGGTCTGCCAATTAAGCTTTTCGCATCAGTGACGAGTACTAGCAAGACAAAGCAGCTTGTATTTAGTTTGTTTCATTATTGGATCTACTGTATCTTATCCAAATTTGTATTAAATAGTGCCATTTATTGTGTCTTTAGTAAAATAGTGTATCAAAAGGTATACCTCACACTCTTTAAGTGAAATAGGTGTAAGACATATATTCTTAATGTTAAAGTAAATTGGTTGTAAAACATAAGTCTTTAATTAAAAGCTGTATTATTCATAGTTCTTAATCTAATTGTGAGAAACCATCAATTCTGAATTCAAATATGAAACGTTTTTGATATAGACCTCTAAAATATAAATTGGGGTATTGTTAACCCATTATTTTAATCGATCATTAGTGGTCTTGTTTTAACAAATTTCGAACTGAATTATTTCATGTAAAAGTTTCTTTCTCGTTTTATTATTGATGTCATGATCATAATGAAACAACGCTGAAATATATCTGTTATTTGTGTAATGGCCTGATATTTGACATAACTCATATCAAAACAGGGTGCTTTGATATGTAAATATTTGTTATAATTGTAATAAACTTGATATCTAAACATGGTGATTTGACAGATAAAAATTGTAATAGTGTAATAAACTCATATCTAAACAGGGTGCTTTGATATGTAAATATTTGTTATAATTGTAATAAACTCATATCTAAACAGGGTGTTTTGACATATAAATATTTGTTATAATTGTAATAAACTCATATCTAAACAGGGTGTTTTGACGTATAAATATTTGTTATAATTGTAATAAACTTGATATCTAAACAGGATGATTTGACATATAAAAAATTATAATGATGTAATAAACTCAATTCTAAACAGGGTGCTTTGATATGTAAATATTTGTTATAATTGTAATAAACTCATATCTAAACAGGGTGTTTTGACATATAAATATTTGTTATAATTGTAATAAACTCATATCTAAACAGGGTGTTTTGACGTATAAATATTTGTTATAATTGTAATAAACTTGATATCTAAACAGGGTGTTTTGACATATAAATATTTGTTATAATTGTAATAAACTTGATATCTAAACAGGATGATTTGACATATAAATATTTGTTATAATTGTAATAAACTCATATCTAAACAGGGTGCTTTGATATGTAAATATTTGTTATAATTGTAATATACTTGATATCTAAACAGGATGATTTGACATATAAAAAATTGTAATAATGTTATAAACTCGATATCTAAATAGGTTCCTTGAACATACAAATATATGCAATAATGTAATAAAACCGAAATTTATTCGACATACTTTGACTTATAATATTTGCAATGATGTAATAAACTCAATATTTCAACAGGTTCCTTTGACA